GGAAAAACAAGCACCACATATACTCACCATCAAATTGGTATTAACTGATCAACACTTAAGTGCACATATAAGAATAACATTTATTGGATGTCAGGCAGCGGGTAGGGGGAGAGGGGACGGGTATATGCATACACAAGAGTACGATGCGCACCATCCGGGAGATGGACACGCTTGAAGCTCGGACTGAGGGGGGGGGCCGGGCAAGGGCAACATACGTAACCTAAACATCTGTACCCCCATAATATGCTGAAATAAAAAAATAAAGAAATAAACAAACACAATATAAAGACCATATCAGACAGACAAAAACCAGGGAAGCTCATAACCAGCAGTCAATTTAGATTTCCTTACAAAGAAATTTAAAGAGTTTTCTAGAGCAGAAAAAAAAATGATGCAAGATGAACAGATGGAGATCCAAAGACTGAAGAGTCAGTGGGTATAAACACGTAGGTAAATCTAAGTGAACACTCACCATGTAAAATAATAAGTATCAGGCATTATAAGGTTTAAAATGAATATACACAGATTTTATAAAGACAAAAATAGTGTCTATACAAAGAGCTTCTAAAAATCAATAAAAAGTAAATAGAAAATAAGCAGCTGATATGAATGGCAATTCACAGAAGTGTAAATGGCCATTAAACATATTGAGCATGGTCAATCTCACTAATGACCAGCAAAATGCAAATTAAAATGATACACTTTTGTCTATCAAATTGGCAAAAAACTCTTAAAAAATATGATAACGTCCTTGGGTTGGTATGAAAAACAGAAGATCTTAGATCCCAGTGAGAACATAAATTGGTAAAACCTTTTCAGAGAACATTCTGATAGAACCTAGCAAACTTTTAAGTGAGCGTACTCTCCACACAAGCAATTCTTCTAGGAATATAGCCAACATAAATATACAATGTGCAATGATATTTACAACAATATTCACTGTAATATTGTTTATAATAGCACAAAGTTGGAGAGAAGATAAATGTCATCAAGAAAGGTTAAATAAATTACGCATTTATCCCTAGAAGGAAGTACTATATAGACAGTAAAAAAGAATTAGGAGATGTTAATAATACTGTATTGTATTCTTGAAATTTGCTAAGAAAATAGATCTTAAATGCAATATTATTTCTAGAAATTTGGGGGACAGTTAGGGAGATGTGCTTTCTCATTTTATTATTTTAACTTTTTTACAGAAAAACCTCATTACTCTTGTAATTGGTGGGGAAAAGTATAAAGGAAAAATACAATTGCTTTGATAGGTTTACCCACACTGTATTTGCCCAGGAGAAGAATCAAAGTCTGCCAGCAGAAGTTAAGGGAGCTTTACAAGTATGAGTTCACCTGCAATACCAAGGAGGGGAAAAAAAAGACAGGGGCCTAGAGAACCTATTCGGCAAACCTCCAGCTGTTCAGCTACATATGGGACCTACAGTACCAAGAGGTGGAGGATGAACCCATCTGTGAATTCATGCTGCCAGAGCAATGCACAGGAAGTCAGGGGGCCTCTGCTAGTCGGAAGGGTCTCCAGGTCAAATAAGCTCACAGAGCTCTGGTTTGGGTGAAGGGGAGCCACTGAAGTTTTCTGAGCAAGGGATGACAGGTTGGATTGGATTGAGGGAGGGCAGCAAGAAAGCAAATGACAACAATAGGTCATTCATTCATTCAACACACAAGGAAGGGGCTGTTCCATGCATCAGGCCTGTGCCAGGACCTCGGGCTAAGAGCTAAAATAGCCCAAATCCCTTCCGCGGGGCATCCCCTGACAAGCTAGAGAGAGAGAGACAGAGACAGAGAGAGAGAGAGAGAATGAAAGCACAACCAGGAAGGATGGAACCCAGATGCATTTGTGGGGTCCTGAGAGCCCAGAGAAAGGGCCTCTAGCCCCACCTGGGGCCAGGGAAGAGTCCCTCAAAGTGACCCCAAGCTAAAGGAGTCCTAGGATCACAGAGGAGTAAGCAAGGCAGAGGAGTGGCCTTTGAATTTGGTCAGGTTGCAGATGGTGAGGAGAGGAAGGACATGTGTATGGGGGCTGGTCAAGGGGGAGGCGAAGAGGGCGGCAGATCTCTAGGAAGAGGGAACCATGCAGGATGAGCTCCTGTGTGGATATACCACCTCTCTCCAACATTGCTAAGGACAGGAGGGTGGAAGTGAAAATATGTACCTTACAAAACACACAGGACTCCATGTGAAATTCTACCTACTTCATTATCAAGTCTTATTTGTAAAGGGAATGAAATTTTTTTTCTTATTCACATCTCATTTTAGAAAGAAGAAAATCTTAATACGCAAAGCTGAATAAAAACAGAACTAAAAGCTTTGCAAGAGCACTCTCGAAGTTTTTTCCATGTTAATCCACATGCCTTCTGTCTGCCATAGGAATTTGCAGAAGAGATTATCCAGTTTTCTGAATTCATATATGTTCAAGCCCAGAGGCAGGTACACAAACATTCAAAGTTCTTTACCGAAACCTTGTTCCCCTCCGTCTGTGAAGCTACAGTCTCCAGAAAGCCAAGGCACTTTCACAGAAAGGAGGTGGCCACGGGCATTGTGGAAGTCAGGAAGCATCTCCCTGGGGTCAGGACACAGAGGCCACCTCACTCCTAGACTGGGCAGGCAGAGGGAGGGTGCTGAGCTGTGAGGCCCCAGCAGTAGGCAGATTCTGACCCTTAGTGCCCACATAAGCTTTCCTCCTCTCTCCTCACCCCAAAGCGAAGAGTACTAAATGTCTGCTGTGGGTTGAGATAGGGTTACATGTAACTGTATCCCTCAATCCTGCTTTCTCTAAATGCAGAGAGGCCAAGTCTACTCACAAGGCCCATGAGGGGCTGAGGCTTGCTGTAGACACACCACGAATATCAGGTGATGGTGATAACGATACAAACACTAATTGCTCCTCCTTATTCCCGCCCCCCCCACCCCCACCCCACACTTTCCATCCATCTCGCAAATGAGACTGCCTATATATTCCTACAGGACGAACTCCAACGTATATTACTGAGTGAAAAAAGCAAGACGGGGAACAGTACACATAGCATAATACATTTTACCTAACGGGGGCGATATAAATGTACATATTTGTGTGTTTATATATTTTTTTAAGTGGAAGGACAAGCCAAGACCTAAAAAAAGTTACCTATAGGAGGAGAAAAAACCAGGTAGAAAGGATGGAAATCAGTCTTTTCTGAATGTACCTTGTTTTATGCATTTGACTTTGATATCATGTAAATATTTTACATCATTATAAAACAAATTAAAATGAGATAAAATGAAAAAAAAAAAAAAAAGCACCTAGCTTCAGGTGCTGGATTTTCTTAGTTTTTCACTTTATGCATGAACAGTAACTAGCAGAACTTCCTAACTTCCCAACAACTTAATTCTCTGTCAGGTACATTTCTCCAAGCACCCTGGGAACGGCCAGAGGGACTTGTTAACCGAAACAGTTTTTGTCTGGAATCTCTCCTTGTTAACAGTGTCCGACAGATGATCAATAGCCAGCCTGTTTAGAAATGCCAGTCTGAATATTCCCAGGAAAGGACAACTGGATCATTAGTGTGGCTAATGAATCCTACAATGGGACATTTACTGCCGTATACTGGGCTTCTGCACAAGAGACTGGCTGCTATCCCTCATCACATAAAAATAGTTTTGTGGGGGATTTTCGCAACTGTTCCTCCTGTACTATATATAATATTTTCTTTGTCTTTGGGGACCTAATTACAGTACCTGGATGGTTTCTCTAATCCATGCACCTGCTGCATCTGACACCAATCAGTGGGAGATGTCTGGATGCTGCAGACAAGATGTATCTTACTTTGCACACAGACTGTGACCCTGATTCTGTGGGAATCAAAGCTTTGCAATTTGAATCCTTATTCCAGGTTTATACGACCAGTTTAGAAATGTTTCTAAGATTATATACGCTTGTTTATTAATCATGTATGTTAGAACAACACTTACTGTCGTCTGTGTGCCAGGCATCATCCTAGGTGCTACAGGTATATTTTTTGACTTAATCCTCACAGACCTCCTTGGAACTGGCATATTGGTCTTCATTTTTCATATAAGCAAAGTGAGGGTTGGAGAAGTAACATGGTTTGCTTCAGGTAAACCATGCAGCTAGCAGGTACTGGAGCTGGATTAAACCCACACTTGTCTGACAATGAGCTCATACTTTTCACACTGTTGGATACTGCCACCTCCTTTTGTTCTTTCATTCATTCATTCATTCATCTACCAACCAGGCACCGGAGGAGTACTCTACGGGGGCCAGGTATGGGGAATTCGGAGAGACAGCTTATTTGATCAGATCTACAACTGGACAATCATTGTCACTTCTGGGTCAGAGACGTGGAATTTCTAGGTTTCTGTTATGCTCACAAAACAGAGAGCTAGCACAAAAGTATTTGAGAGCAAATCGACATCAATAGGCACCCTGCCCCACCCCGCCCCCTTACCATCTCCGGTTTTGCTTGGGTTGGGGGGTTCAGGAGTGCTCAGAGGCCTAAGGGGAATAATGATCTCATCAACATTAACCCCTTCTTCCATGTGCTTCTCAGAAACGTGGGAGAGGAGTTCCGACTGGTTTGGTGAGAAAAGGTTACAACATTTACACATGAAGATGGGCGTGTTTTCTGTAAGAAATAAAAAGAAAAATATGGTAAGTTCATCTCCACATACAGTTATTCCTTCTAATTGCAAAAAACACACTGAAGGCTGCCCCTCTGGGCAATCACCAGGCTCTACCAGAGTGTGTCCCTCTGGTGGACACCTCCACTTCAGGCAGCATACTTCTATCTTCAGGGGGCTCCAGTTGCCAGAAAGTTCTTTCTTCAGTATTTCAAAACCTTCATCCTTCTGCATAGTGTCTAATATGGACTTCCCAGTTACCCAAATCTGCTCAACAGCCCAGATTCAGCCTAATATAGGTACAGCCAAGAAAAAAATGAATTTGCAACTTAAAAAATTAAATCCTAGTCCTCAAACAAATGAACTGCATTGACAGCAATTAAGTATGCTTGCTAGATGCTCTCAAATTAGGTATAAGGAAAAATTGACCAAAATAGCATTTCTCAAGAGCCAAGACGCCTTTCAATGAAAGGATGGAAATCTGTTGCTTTTTTTAAGCCACTTAATTCCTATTTAATGTATTATCATCATTCACAAATACTTACTAATATTTCATTATGTTCATCCCATACTAGGCAAGAAGACATAATGAGAGAAAAAGAACACTCATTTTTGAATCTAATAAAATAATTATACAAAATATTAAGTTTAGGATCTAGGCCAGGCACGGTGGCCCATGCCCATAATCCCAGCACTTTGAAAGGCTAAGGCAGGAGAATCACTTGAGACCAGGAGTTTGAGACCAACCTGGGCAACACAGTAACACCTCATCTCTACAAACAAATTTTTAAAACATTAGCCTGTCATGATGGTGCACACTTGTAGTCCCAACTACTCGGGAGGCTGAGGTAGGAGGATCCCTTGAGCCCAGGCTGCAGTGAGCTATGATCACACCACTGCACTCCAGCCTGGGCAACAGAGCTAGACCCTGTATCTAAAAAAAAAAAAAAAAGAGGCAACAATGTACCCCTTACTGCCCATACCTGGGAACACCGATCCCATAGCCCTCTCTGGGAAGGTTACTGGACAAAGGACACACAAAGGCTTGTGTGTGCAGATCCCTCCCCCTCCCACCCACTCAACAACAGTGTTCCACTCATTTTGGCTTCTTCTCTCTCTCCCATTGGCCTGCAAACACGGTCCTATTCTCCCATCTTAAAACAAAAACCTCTCTTATCCCCATCCCATTTCTCTCCTTCTCTTACAGCAAAACTCTGCTAGCAGGAAGGGGAAATGAGGAAGAAAGGCACCAGGCCAGCACGGCATCTCAGGTGAGGGCAGAAGCCCCGCAAGGCACTGCGGCCACAGGAGTGAGCCCCTCTGGATCTACAGGACGGCTTTCACCATGAACAAGCAGGGAAGGTAATGACCTAAGAGAATTCTTTCCTACCAAACAACACATGAAATCGAAATTTAACAAAGCAGAACACTGCTTCATCAATGAAAATGTCTCATGAATACTGCCAGTCGATATTTTTTTTAAGAAATGTTTTATTCCTAAGGAACCCAAAATGCTTCCAAACCAAGAAGAGATTTCAGTAAGACTTTTTTCTTTATATGAAGCCGTGTCATTTTCAACATGCTTCCTGCTGATCCTACAACAATCCAATGATTTAGGCAAAAAGTTTGTAATTTCCCAGTCCACAAGTGAGGAAACTGTGGCCAAGAGAGGATACGCACCTTGCTCGAGGCAGAGAGGCAGGAGCAGGGCCAGACCCTCTACTATTAGTACCTGCGTCTGACACGAGGTCTGTTTGGCTGCAGACCACGAGCTGAGTTACCCCAAGTTACAGCTGAAATACTTAGGACCCTACACCTGGTCACATCTGAAATGACACTCATCATGAAGATGAGGATAATCCCAAAATCATGTATCAACTTCACACCTCTTCATTTCAGCATCGGCTGGGCAGTGACCACATGCAGGCCCACTCCGGGCACTGGGGACAGAGAAGAATGGGGCACAAGGCCCAGGCCTGGCCACAGAGGAGGCCACCATCTCACTGGGAAGACACGTCACAGAACGATCCCATCTTACAATTTTTACTAAAATTATTTCTCAACTGACCTGTAAGTATTCTTGGTTCCTAGGATGCTCCCAGAGAAAAGGGAATTCTGTGATATTTAACAGAGCAGAATTTCTGAGGACCAGAGTTATTATGAGGGGTCTCCTAGTTCAAAGGCACACCAAGCATCATCTGGAGATTAAATAATACAATTACTTCTGCAAGTGTGTGTGACAAAGTGTTGGAGACGGCTGGAAATAAACTACCTCCCAGCAGTTCCACACAGCCTGAAGGCCTGAGCACCCTAGCGTGGCACCTGGCCTTGGCCATCTGTTATCAGCACGCGTCTGTGTGTCCAGCTCTCTTAGGCAGGGGTCTGTACCTGGAGTTCTCAAGGTGGAGGCAGAGATGCACACATGGGCCTAGGATGACTCGCTCGTAACTGAGGGCTCAGCTGTGCGACGCAGACCGAGAGGCAGGGCACAGTGGCATGGACCTGACCCAGAAAGGCTGCCATGGGCAGGAGAGGCTTCTCAGCCAAGGGATGACCAGAGCTCAGTGCCACAGCATAGGGATGTTCCAGGAAGACGGGAGGGCAGACGCAGAGAGGAAGGAGACGTGAAGGCAAGAGCGAGGTGAGTGAGTGGATCTGCTGACAGCACAGGGACCTGTGCTCACAGGGACAGCTCCGAAGGCCCAGCACAGGAACTGGCAGTTCCTGAGAGAGCCAGAGGTCTGCCAGCAGAGCAAAGGCTTAGGGAAGTCTTATTTGAAAGGGCTGGTCTAGCGGGGGAGGCCCCGCACATCCGAGCTGCGTCAGTTCCCTGCGTGCCTGCCCCCTGGACTCTGCACAGCCCCGTAACTCTGTTCCCCCTACAATGTGAGGTCCACGGAAGTGGCAGCCAGCCAGCCTTGGTCACCTTGGTGCACCTAGAAGTCAGCAAGTGGCCAGGGCTGAGTGAGGGGCCGAAGGACAAATGATTGCACTGGTACAGGGGGTGGGACGGAAATTAAAGTGCCTGCCCAGGGATGAGAGAGGAGAGGAAGGCCCCAGATGCAGATCTGCAGAGAAGGAGTCAGGCCCAAACGAGGGCAACAGAGAGAGAGGGAGGCAGATGTCTCCAGGTGGAAGCAAGGACTGGTCTGGATCCAGTGGTCCGGGCAAGGCATCTGAGCGGAGGTGCCCACCAGGGGAAGGTAACACAGGAGGGGGCTTGGGGCACGCTGGGGCAGAGAAATGGGGTTAGCTCCTCAGGGGGTGCACCAGGATGAAGCTGAAAAGTATGAAGAAGCTGAATCCACCGAAAGGGCACTGTCTCGGTCCCTCTGGGCTGCTGTAACAAAATACTGTAACGGGGGCGGGGAGGCGGCTCTAAATGACAGAACTTTATTTCTCACAGTTCTGGGGGCTGGAAAGCCCAAGATCACGGCGCCAGCAGATTCAGTTTCTGGCGAGGGCTCGATTCCTGCTTCATAGACGGTGCCTCCTCGCCGTGCTCACATGGTGGAGGGGGAAGACGGCTCTCTGGGGGCCTCATCTATGAGGGCACTAATCCCATTCACGAGGGCTCCATCCGCATGACCTAACGACCTCCTCACACCATGGCGTTGGGGGAAGGTTTCAACATAGGAATTTAGGGGGGAGGGGACATTCAGACCATAGCAGGCAGCAAATGAAGGACCCAATCCTGAGTGGCAGAGACAGACAGGGCTGCCTCTGAGAGGATGGAAAAAGAGAGGCTGCTCCTGAAAAACGCAGCAAGCACGAGAGGCAAAGCACAGAGTACAGCAACAAGGGAGGGACTGGCAACCTCAGGGATGAGAGATCCATAGAGTGGCCAGAGAGTCACACAAAGGGGCTTAGATCAAGGTGGCGATTTTAAGAAAGCAGGCACCCTCCTCAAGCCTGCACTACCCAAAGGAAGGGTCCTGCTGGGCTCAGGGGCTTATGCCTGTAATTCCAGCACTTTGGGAGGCCTGAGCAGGATTATCGTTTGAGGGCAGGAGTTCAAGACCAGCCTGGGCAACACAGTAAGATCCCATCTCTACCAAAAATTTAAAAATCAGCCGGGCATGGTGGCATGCACCTATTGTCCCAGCTACTGAGGAGGTTGAGGTGGGAGGATGGCTTGAGCCCAGGAGTCTGAGGTTACAGTGAGCTCTGATGACGCCACTGCACCCCAGCCTAGTGCCAAAGGGAGACTCTGTTTCAAAAAAGAAAAAGGGTCCTGTGGCCACTAAATAACATACACCAGCTCCAAGCATTTGCTATGCTGGAACAAACGACTTTTACTGGCTAAAAGGCTTCCAGGCCTTCTAGCAAAAGACCCGCAGGGTGGCAGGCATGTTCAGAGCACGTAAAAAGGCCCAGGAGGAGGCAGCCACGTGTCTCTGAGCCTCTGCAGCTCTCAGCCCGCAGGGCAGCCTCCCTCAGGTAATGTGCCCACAGAGGCCTGCTCGGGGTTTCCTGGGACCCTGGTTTCCACACAAGCCCTGCACCCAAGAACCCTCCTCCCCACAGAGTTGTTCTGCGACACAGACACATGCGAGTGTGGTGGGGCGTGGGGCTCATGAACCAATACTGCCTTCAGCAAAGGGCCAAGAACCTCGAAGGTGCCCCCTCGCAACTGTGGACCAGTGGTTCCACTTCTTGAGATCCTGCCTTCATGATCCTCCGAAATGAGGACAAAGATTGTGCACTAAGATGCTCAACGCAGAAGTATGTGTGACAGCAAGTCCCCGGAAACAACCTAAGTGCTCGGCAGTGGACAGCTCATGACTCACCCACAAAACGAATCAGAACACAGCCGCTGAAAATCATGCCCTCAAAGAATCCTGAATGGCATGGGGAAATGCTCACAACGAACAGTACAGGGTAGAGAATGGAAGACACAGCTATTTGGTATGAACATTATTTTGTTATTAATGGACAGACATTATTTATGAATGGATGGAAGGAAGAAGAGCCAGCCAGGCTGAAAGGAAACACACCAAAATCT